ATATATATATATAACATGTATGTATGATTATGTATGCATGCATGTGTAAAGGTGCTTTTTGTTGGGGGAGGGAGGGGGGCTCTACACGAGGAACTCGAGGTTTCTCACAGACAAGCGTATTTCTGTATAGCCCCGAACCTGAACTTCTTGAACCGCAATATGGCATAATCAAAACAACTGTTACAATAACAACGAACATAACTTGTAACATAACTGATACCGCTGATGCTTTTTGCCAATGTCAGCGGTCATAGAACCAAAAACAGCACGGGTACTTTTAGGTACGATAGCGGCAATAACAATCACAGCCCCGATACTATCATGCACAAGGACAGCAAAGAAAACTACAACAGCAACGTCCGAATAGCACAAGCTATACGTGACGCAACGCAAGGACAATGCGCAAACCTTCATGATATCAATGTTATCCAGCCGCACCTTGAGCAGATTCGTGATGTCGTCGACGGAAAGTGCGCCCTTCTCCTCGTTTGCAGCTTGAAGGTTTGCGAGGGTTTAGACTTCAAACTTTCAATTGGGAGTTTCAGAAGATCATCCCCCCCCCCCCACCCATATTTAGACGGCATCTAATGGATTCTCGCATCAGAAACCCTACAAGGGTGACCCTGTTCTAAGAAGGCCCCCTCAGAACGACTGTACAAAACGTACCTTCGATGTGCCGAGGATCGCTGCCGTAGGTCTCCACGAAGAGCGACAGAGGCTTGGCCACACCGATGGCGTAGGACAGCCTTTCGAAAAAAAAGGGGTGCAAGGATCTACTCGTGTGCGGATCAGTTGCTTCCCTTGCCCTGGCCAGACACACTCTTGTAGATTAGCAGACATTGTATCCGTGGCAGCATGGGGAGGCGAGCGGCTGAACAAGGCAGCGAGCGCTCAGCCCGCTGTTGACCACGGACTTGGCCTCGGGAGATGGATGGGTTGAGTGGAAGTTCCACAGCGTTTGCTGCAATGATTGACGACGTTCTGCTCATTGGTCTTGCATGTGTGTATTTTGAGATGGTGATACTCTCTTGGTTGACTTCTTTTGCAGAAGTTCATGGTACTGTTATTGTTGGGACAGGATCGAGGATGGCTCCTACAAGAAGCTGTTCTGACTGAAGATGTCCTGAAGGGGTTTAGAGGGTTGCCTCCGGCACCCGTCGAGAGCAGAAGCTGCTTTGTCAGGTTGCAGGGCTTCGCCAGCCCATTGAGTGCCCTCACATGCTCCGAAGACATTCAAGTTTAGTGGCTCATTTTGTCGTTTTGGCTGGCAGCTGATGCAAGCCTTTGGGCCAAGGTGGAGACATGCTCCTGTGAAAAAACTCGGCAAAAACTGGGTAGGAGCCACCTTTGCCATTTGCACATCTGCTGACAGAACCACACCCTCAAAATAACACAATCCACCAACTCTCGCCGCAAAGCCCCGGCAGTCAGTGCCTCAGCAGCCTTGAGCCCTGAAATAGCACACCGAGCGAGTGGCCATCTGTCGGCAAATGTAGGCCGCAGAGCGATCCACCTGCAGAACGTAGGGGTTGTCGTACATGACCATCCCTAGCACGCAAGGTGCCTAACGTACCTGAAGGGACCTAATGAAGAGCTCTACACAGCCCCATGCACTATCAAAAACCCTGAAGCGCCATCGAACCCTATGGAACCCTTTAACGGAAGCCTGATTCAAAATGACCAATTGAAAAAAGTTAAAGCCCGATAACGATATGCACCCTGACTTCACCCTCACTGAACTCTAAACAAAACGAGATGAACTCTTCAAGGCCCTGATATTCCCTACAAAGTCCTATGCAAAACCTGGAATCCCCACAAGTGCGGTTAGTATTACTCAATGGACCTGGCTCCTTAATCCGAACGTAAAACATGATCTCTAAATCACTGTAGCTCATCAAGTGCGTACTCGCCCTCGTCAACAGCTCAAGCTTTCAATACAAGGTGAGCATACGGAGCCGGGCGATTTGCAGAGATTTTCCCTTCATGTTTCCCACCTTGGTGGGATCCTTGCCGGAGAAAGCGCCACCACCATGGGCTCCCCAGCCTGCAATTTCGGAGGGATTAGCTGAGGAGGTTCTGACGAGGTACAGCTTTGTTTAATGCCGCCAGTCACTACAACTCCGACATAGATGGGCGAAGTGCTGGCCCAAGGCTTCAGCTTTGGGAGTTGTTGCAGTCTCCGAATCCACTCTTTCCACGGAAACCGATCAAGATCCCATGATTGAGAAAAGCAGCCCTTTCGCGCACAGCTTACTTCATGCAGTGCTGTTACAGGACGGTCTCAAGCAGCCCATGCCCTGGATGTGTAGCTGTTACACGTAGTGTGGAACTCCTGTCTTCCACAAGCTGCCACATAGCCACCCCTGAGAGGAGAGTCTTGGCGGCAACGCAGCCTCCATAGGTGTCGATGATGATCCTCAGCTGATTTCGCCACAACTCGAAAGGACAAGCTTGAGCCTGGACCCCCATACCTGAAAATGTGTCAGCGCACAGGTCAAAACCTGCCTCGGAACAGGCATGCAGAAAGTGCAAAATATCGGGCCGCCTTAAACAAAACACTCGACCCAACGAATAGTTCAGGACGCTCCGGAAAATACAAAAAACCGAGGTGAAACCCACGAATTGTGCCAGGATCTTGCGGCCGGTCAGTCCCGCATCGCCCTGGGGGCCACCGATGATGAACTTGCCTCGGCAGTGTTGGGCTGCTAAGCGCATCGGGGCTCAGAAATAGACCTGGATCGACCCAAAACCCGAAGGCACAGGGTTCCGAAAACGGTCGACACTCTAAACTCAAAACCCTGAGCTGGCCCGCTGTCAAGACGACCCCGAACTTCCGTCTCCGGCACTTTAGGGCAACCTGGGCACCCGAAGGGTTGATGTGCAGGTGCGTGTGGGCGCCGTAGAGGCTAATGGCCTGCTGGCCGTTCTTCAGCCTTTTCAGCGGCAAAGGGCTTCTGAGGAGCAAAGAGAGAGACCAAAGAATGCTTATTGACAACTATATAGATATGCTCATTGAGGTTTTTGTGCTCCGCTAAACCGTCGACCCTGACCTCCGAGGGTTCCTAGACTCTCAATCGCTAGAGTAGCCGCTAGAGTTGCGTAGCCCAGCAGCTTGATGGACTGAAGGGTGCGCTTGATGACCTTCTCCTCGATCTCCTGCGCTTTGGGGTGTAGGGCGTTGAATCGTATCATGCCATCGGAACAACACTGAGCCTTTAAGCAGTATGTCGGCACGTACTGCTGCGACGACGACGACGACGACGCAGGCGACGGCGTACGGTTCGAAGTTGCAGCATGCTAAGAATACGATTTGTTTTTGTCTAAGTCTCGAAGTGGTGGTCCAGTGCAAAAAAACAGGTCGATTTCACGTAGATTTGGCTTTAAAGTAGATGGCCAGTGCTATGAAGTACGGTTGGTTGCCGTTGCTTTGTCCTCCACGTGGTGATCCAGTGCTGAGAAGTGCGATGTGTTGCCGTTGTCTTGGTTTGGAAATGGTGGCCCTTCGCTAAGAAATACGACTTGTTGCTGTTGTTGTGGCACCGAAGTGGTGGCCCAGTGCTAAGAAGTACGATTTGTTGACGCTGTGCTGGTTACCTCGGGCTTTAATATTCAAGATTTTATTGCGTCAGGTATAAGTATAGGGTGTTCCCTCCTTGTTCATCTCGTCCATCGTTGGCGCGGTCATCTCGGCACCCTTGTACCCAGCGCACTCCTGACCGTCCAGCAAGAGAGGACACCACTAATCTACAAGTGTGTATCACTCTGACTGCAACAAGTTTTTGGTGTACAGCTGCCCGTGCCCTTTCACCAAACACCTCCAAGTTCTCCAAGGCCCCTTTTGCACGAACAACCTTTGAACCTCGGATCATATACTAACGACCAATAAGTGATAAGAAAACAGGCTAACCATCTTTCGACTTGTCGACCCTCCTTGCAACACCTTTGAAACTCGAATCAGACCCGCAGTTCTCGCCTGTGTGCGCTTGGCCTTGGAGGGCTCCGCATGCTGAGTCGAGATGACCACGGTGTGGATCTTCCTTTTCCGTTGAAGGCTATGGACGTATAGCATAGAGTTTGGTATCAGGGTTGCAGCTTTTCCGATTCTCTGGCTTATGTTTGGCCTGGAAATTGGGATCATGAAGTCTCCGACCAAAAGCAGCATGGTGTCCACCGAAACTTTAGGTCCCCATATTTGCACAAGCTGCATGCCATGGCTGACCGTACAAACGGATATCCTGTGGAGGAGGCTTGACACCAAAAACACAAACAGGGAGTAGTAAGAAGGCTCTACCGAGGCTTACGACTTCAAGTCAAAGTTGCCCTCAGCCCTAAACTCGGGTATCCGAGTGAGGAGCGTAGGATACCCCGATCCGACAACAGAGAACCAACCCAAGACCCTAAAACTCCAAAAACTTGAACTTAAACCCGTCAACTCAAACCGAAACCAATAACTCATTACGCCCCAAAACCCATAAACTCCATAAGCCCTACACCATACATCCTGAAGAAACATCCCCAGCAGCCTTTCACCCCTGTGCCAATGAAGCCCGAACGTTGAATCCCTGCCGACACCTCAAACTGCAGAGCCTCTGTTTCGGGCTCGGGCTTTCGAGTGGATTTACAAGGGGGGTTGGGCTTCAGCTGAAACTTAGTCGTTTGGGATTTTGCCCCAAACCCTGTCAGCCCCAAGATAAAAACCCAAACGCCAAAACACTCCAAAGCCACAAGGAATCAAGGTCCCGTGCACTGAGGGGAGGATAGCCACCGAATGCCAAAGCCAAGCTTCTTGGGCTCAACGGAGCCATCCGGATGCTGCAGGTACTCGATGGTCACCTTCCCCCGCCAGAAAAAGCTTTTTCGGGTTCAGGGTTTTAGGTTTTGGGGTTTTAGGTTTTGGGGTGTGGGGATGGGTTTAGAGTTCAGGGCTCAGGACGCAGGGATTCTGGGGGGCGCCGATACTCCTTACTGTACTTGTTGCTTGTTTTCCTCGAATCCTGCAACTGGGGTGTCGGGCTCTAGACCTGGGGATGTTTAGGGCCAAGCCCGATTAGAGTGCCAACTGGTCCAGAGCGAACGTCAGGCTAAAATACTGGAACCGTAATCCGAAGCCCCTGAACCCGAAGCTGAAGCCCCGAACCGTGAACCGCCAACCGCAAGAAATGGAAATCCCAAGATAGCCCTCACATGGCTTCAAACTTCAGAAACACATGGTCTAACTCCTAAAGCCGTGAAGGCCCTTCCAAGCCTGGGTCTTGCCGTCCGGGCGGAGCCACCAGCACTCTCCTGAGAACGCAGGCCGCACGGCGACTCTACCCGGTCACTCTGAGGATCTGCGTTAGACCTGTTACTTTCTCGATCTCACTGTCGCGCTCGATCTCAATTGCACTCGAAGCCCAGAGGCTTTTTTAGACAGTTGGTTTTGGGATTCGCGAAGGTGACTCATGGGTCCCCTACTTAATCCCTACTCAAACCACATTTTCTGAACCTCCGTACCATAGGATGGGTGGTTTAGTGGTTAGGTATAGAGCTACACGCAAGAATGAACACCGACCGAGGCACCACTCTTGCGGACCTCTGTCAGCGTCTTGCCCAGGCGCGTAGCCATGGAATGGGTCAAGGGCATGCCTGGGCGGTTTTATTAGGGGTTTGGGGCTTAGGGGCTGCGGACTCCGGATTTAGGGTCCAACGGCTATAGGGTTCCGGGATTTGATTAGGAGTTTGCAGTTTTGTGGTTGGCACCCAGATCTAATGACGGGAACAACAGCAAGAATTGCAGCAACAGTGCTGTTCTTTCACGCAGTCATACCTTGACTCCTTGACTTGGAAAACGCTAATTTCATCAAAACAATAGAACAAGACCGTAGCATAAATGACGACAACAATACAGGCGTTAGGGGGCTTTCAGAACTCAGTGCCGCCCAAATTGCAGTCCGAGGTCTCATCGCTGGCATAGCCGAACCTCGCAACCAAATCTTTGGGGAGTCACGGGCTTCCTTGCAGGCTTCGTTCGGGAGGGGACCGGGGGGGGGGGGGGG